GAACGGCCCTCGGTATTTTGATAGACCTCGTTCAAAGTCTATCAAATGTTGTCTTTTTTTTCAGGAGTAATTTTTGCCCTTCACCAAGCAGGTCTTGTCGAAATGGTTTACGCTTTGGAAACACGGCCGTATAATCAGGTACCGACAGCAGGAAAGTTTTTGGGCAAACGGAGTCCTGAGATAACAGTGTGATACAATATAGAACCGCTCCCATAAAAACTGCCGAATTGCAAAAACAAAACATGAAGAAAGTAATACTTAGGAAATTGCTATAAAAGATTGCTAATTTATCGCCTATCGGCCATGAGACCCGCTAAAGCGGTTCGGTGCGCCTATCATTTGTTAAAAATTAGTCTGACCATCATCTAACCTCTGTTTCACTGGGGTGATGGGGGCTCGTGCGTCTCGTGTCTCGCACGACCGCCTCGCCTTAGTTCTGCACCTCTTTCGAGGGCGCGCTTTTGATACTTTTTTCCATCACGCTTGCGAGAAAGGTCGAGCTTCCGGTAACTAAGCGTATTTTTTCCCTTTACTGTTGGTTTCGAGAATCAGATGACACGATGACACACTACTGTAGCTCAAGCTAATGCGGTTTTTATTCACAGTATCATTTTTTACGCGTGAAACGCACTTCCCTGTGTAAGACTGTCAGCAGGAGAAGATGGAAAAGCTTATTCACTTTGGGTCAATGTCAAATAATTCAGACACGGTGACTTGATATGGGGGAAAGTTTATAGTGAGCATTTGTTTGTGACAAATTACATTCTTGCTCCAGTAACCTAGCGAGCAAACTGAGCAAGAGGTTTAACGTTTTTTCAGCGTTAGAAGTGAACTTTCAATCTTCGTTATTTATTTTACTGAACACATGCGGGTTGTACACTTGCTGTCAACCAACAAAAATTATAAGCGACAATTAAAAAAGGGAGTCAGTTATGCCATCTTCACTAGTGTACTTACCTCTCGGAACTACACAGCCCTACTAGTATTTAGTAACTATTCGAAATATCTAAGGGCATGCGTCTCACTGCTAGCGAACTTCGCCATGCCAAGATACCCTTCAAGGTCATCACGGACAGCATGGCAGCTTGGACTATGAAAACACACAAAATTGACGCTGTGCTCACTGGTAAGCTCTTTTTACTAATATTTTTCTTTGGATCAATTATATTCGTTACAGGCGCTGACCAGGTAGCTCTCAACGGAGACACGGCGAATAAGATTGGTACTTACATGCTGGCTGTGCTTGCTAAGCATCACAATATTCCATTCTATCCTGTGGTAAGCAACTTTGCTTTTTTATGCGATGTGCTGATGCTAACTATAACACATGCGCACTGTTACTGCATGCCGTCGCTTGCAGTATTATTGGATAGCTAGAGCG